AGGGGCACTGGGCTTGGGGACATCACTTACTCCCCCATCTTGAGGTCCTGGGCTTAGAGCCTGTAGGAGAGAAAGTTGGGGCATCAGGGCTTCGGAGCCATTGGGGGTGCAGCACCTCACCTTCCCCGGGCCCCCTGCCACCCGATCCCCGACTTCAACCTCCTGGGTGTGGGGGGGGCTGCATCTTGGAATTCCCTGGGGTGAGAAGGAAGGGGAGAAAGTGTTCCCAATATGTCCCGGGCGGGGCCCCGGGTGTGCAGCTGTCCCCGAGGGCGGGGCGGGACGGGCCAGCGCAGGTGGCCGCCAGAGCCACCCTACTATTTTTATCTCTGCTCCTTCGGCTTTGGGCCCAAGTGCCTGCGAGAAGCTGCTCCCCAGTTCAGCCTGGGGTCCCTGGACACAGAAAGACCCCTGCCGGTGTTCCGGAAACAAGGCCTGGTCGTCGAGAGCTGTCCGGGCCCCCCGCCTTACCCCAGCCCACCTCCCGCTGGGTCTCCATCTCGCTCCCAGCTCCAGGGAAGCCCCCCAGGAAGGCTGCTGGTGGTGACCCGCAGCCCCCAGACCCCCGCCCAGGGAAGTCCTCCTGCGAACTAGCTCGAGTATCGCCTGCCCCGGCCTGGGCTGGCCCACCGGCCTCACCTAGCTTCCGGGCGGCTGCACTGGGAGCGAGGTCAGGCTGGCAGTGTGGAGTTGGGCTGGTGGGCCCAGGGGGAGGGGTATAAATGTCCTCCCCCAGGCTGGGCCCCTGCTCAGAAAGGACATGGAGCCCTCCTCAGACCAATGGGGGCACAGGGACCTTCCCACCTGCCCGGGCCGCCTGGTCTGGCCCAGCCACATGCTGCCGTCCAGTCCAAGAAGTCTTGGGGGGGGGGGTGCCGAGGTTGGGTTGCTCTATTTAGGGATCAGTGACGAGCTTGAGAAACTCCTGGTTCTTGCAAGGAGCCCGTGGGCAGCTGCGTGTGGCCCTGTTGGGCTGTGGTGGATGCACGGCTCAGGGGTCACCTGAGCAGTCCCTCGGAGCTGGGCCCCACTGGGTCCCACCGCACAGTTTTCTCCTGGGGACCACGGCTGCCTCTCCTGCAGCCCACGGTTCCCCTCCCAGCCCAGGGGCATCTCTGCCACTAGCTGGCCATGTCCCCTTTCTCCAATCCAGCTCTGGAGCAAGGCCTGGACCCCCTAAAATGGCCTCTGGGCCTGCGGCCGGGCCCGGGGTCTCTGGGGTGGGAATGTGATCATTCCTTCCCGCCCAGAACAGGCGAGGGGGTGCGGTGGACGTGCAGCCATGCGGGGCGCCCCACCCGAGGGCTGTTCGTGCACAACTCGGAACACGCCTTCAGCCGGGGATGGCGGGCCCCTGCCTGGAACGCTCCCTGACCCGAGGGGCTGGGGCCCAGGCGGGCCCCCACCCAGCAGAGGCATCCGGAGGACCATGACTTGGCTGCCTCTGAGCTGGGGGTGCGGCCCCCGCCTCCGGCCGTGGGGAGGGTCTGGGAGAGTGGAGGCCTCCAGATGTGGGGGATTAGAGCTGCATTCCTTCCCGCCAGGCTGAGCCCCCAGAGGCCCCGGTGGCGGCAGCTTCCGAAGGCCTCTACTGCCCCCTGCTGCTCGCTGGCGGAGCCCGGCAGCCGCCGCCGCCCCAAAGTTTTGGGGCCCTGAGAGGAGCTGTGGCAGCCCCTCGGCTTGGGGTTCCATCCTTCTACCAGCACCACCCCCCCAAATGCCTCCTAATTGCCCACCACACCCGTGTTATGCCATCTCCAGCTCCCCTCCCCTCACTCTGCCTCTGTTGCTGCAGCCCCCTGACAGGGGGGCTCCCCACTTCCAGTATTGTCCTCTCTGGGCTTGGAGGGGCCCCCTTCACCACACCCAGGGGCCAGGCATTGGTCAGAGGCTTCGGGGCCTGGAGGAGTTTAGAGAGGAGGCCTCCTCCTTGCCCTGACAGGGCCCCGACCTTACGCTGTCCCCGAGGGCTCAGGAAGGACTCATAGCTGTGGTGAAGGGAGGAGGCATTTATTGCAGTGGCCCCAGGGTGGCCTGGACAGGTGCCCACAGCTCAGTCAGGGGAGACTGAGGCTCAAGGATGCTCTCAGGAGCCAGGCAAGGGCAAGTGCAGGCGGGACTGCGGGGCCAGGGCCCCGTCTACCTCCCTGAGGGGTTGCAGGCGGTGCCACTGGGCAATTGGCCGCCGGGCATGGGCCAGCATTTCCGCCCAGTGCTGCAGGGGCTGACCAGAGGCCTGGGTACCCAGCACCACCTTACCCACAGGCTCGGCCCGAAGCCCCAGGCTCCCGGCCCAGACGGCCAGCACCAGGTCCACACTCTGGGCAGGACAGGCAGAGGTGTGTGGGGGGAGCTGTCAGATTGCACCCCCCCCCC